TATTTGACCATAGAAAGAAAATGGAACTTACAATAAAATAATCTTAATAACTCTAATAGAATCTTAAACAAACTCTAATTAAATTATAAAAATGTTAATCAAACTTTAATTAAATCCACAAGAAGTCTTAAGAACTTACAAAAAAAATATAAAGAAATTATAAATTAACCTTAATTAAATATATATATATTAAATTAATATTTTTTAAAAAATAAATAAATAAAAATTCTAATTGAATCTTAATTAAATTATAATATATCCCTAAAAAATCCTTAATAAAATCCTAAATAAATCCTAATCAAACTTTAAACCAAATCTTAATAAAATACTAAATCCTAATTTTAGACCAATCTTAATAAAATCCTAAATCTTTATCTTAGACCAATCCTAATGAAATCATAAATCCAAATCAATCCTAATTAAATTTCAAACAAATTTCAATGAAATCCTACACAAATTCTAATAAAATCCAAATCAAATCTTTAATCTTAATCTTGAATCAAATTCTAATCAAATCCTAAATTAATCTTAATCAAATTCTAAATAAATCTTAATCAAATCCTAAATAAATTCTAATTAAATCTTAATAAAATCCTAATCAAATCTTAGACCAAATCCTAAGAAAATCCTAAGCAAATCCTAGATTCTAAAACAATCTCAATCAATTCTTATTCAAATCCTAAATCTTAAATAAACTCTTAACAAATCTTATAGCATATTGAAAATCCAATAATTAATGATTGAATCATTGATTTTGACTTAAATTTTTTAAAATTTGTAAAAAATTAAATTAGCAATAATAAAAAAAAATTGAAGAAGATTCCACAAATCAAATAGATAATAATTCCTAAATTCCAATTAAGTATCATCCAACATCCTTTTTCAATCTTGATATTGATATTTTCAAGCTATGATCTCTTAATTTGACCATTCAATTGGTTCAAAAATTTTCACAATTTTTGGAAGTCAAGTTAATTACCTATGAGCAAAATTTTATTTCTATCCAACAAGCAGATTGACATAAATCTTAGAAATCCTCATTGGTCCTCTAAACCTCAATTTCTGAGACTATAAACTATAAAACTCTTTTACTCTTTAATCTAAATATTTCATTGATCTTAAATTTTTTATACATATTTAAAATAAGCACAATAATAAATTTCTAAATTTTTAATTATAAATATGCTTCAAGATTTATAAAATTCTCAAATATGTAAATTTAATTTTATTCCTCAAGATCTAAATCCATCAAATATATTATTAACTTTCAATATCCTTTAAAACCTCAATATTAATCCAATGACATAAAACCAAGTCTCAAAATTTTTTTTTTCAAGTTTGCTTTCAAATTCTATTTTTGATTGACAAAAAAACCTCAAAAATTGTGTAGGTGCTCAATTTTGTGCCTTGGGATCTGTTTTTGACCTTGGTTAGCAACTAGTCTACTTTGGATATCAATTTTTTTTTCTTGAAGTATTTTTTACTAAAACCAATTCCTAACTCTTTCTTACATATGAATGTATCATTTATTTTTTTAATCTATCTTGTTTTGTCATATCTATGATTATATAAAATAAACAGAATCTATTTTTATAAAAAGTAATTTTAATACTACAAGATTTTACTACCTATCTATCTTTTATTTATATTTTTTTATTATATCTTTTTAATAACGCTCTTTTATAATGATTTTTTTTTTTTTTTTTTTTTTTTTTTTTTACCTAATGGCCCTATTACTATACAATATTGTAAAGATTTGCAATAGTTGTAAATCTATTCTCACTTCCACTAAAAGTAGCATCTATAATTTTTATTTTCATGGACAATTCAAACAAATCTACAAGTCAAATTAAAAGAAGATAATCTGTAGCTCCTTATATCAAATAAAAATTTCTACAAAGAAAAATAATCTTCATTTTTTAAATATATATTAAAATACTAAATATTAATTTAAAAGTGGATAATCTACAACCTTCAAAATATAGCAATAAAAGTGGAATAATCTACTCACTTCTAAAAACAAAATAAAAACAAAGAGTTAGCACTCTTGTTAAACTATCAAGGGCATGAATCTCAAAGAACTAAAAGTTCAATACACTCTTAAACTACTTGAAAAGATTGGAGAGTCATTCAAAGATGGTATGATATTAAACTAAAATGGTTATTGTCAAAGTCAAAAAGACTAGAAAGTCTTGAAACAAGACTAAGGATTAGAAAGGTATTGATAAGAGTAAAAAAGGCTTTACTCTTACCTCTATATATACTATCTAACTAGGAACTATGTGACAATATTCTATAGGACCTCCAATACATGTCCAATTTGTAAGACTTATGTCTTAACTTGCAAGGCAAGTTTCTTATATGTGTACTACATCAATAACTTATACCCCAAGCTACCCATATGTGCAACACATGGCTAACTTGTTGGCCAAATTTCCAAACTATTAATTAACTATAAACATATATAAAATTAAAAAAGCATCTATAAATCTTATAAGGAGATTTGCCACAAGATAATATCACATCTTCCTATATTTATATTCTACCTAATACTTCTTATCTAGGTAAATATATATGTCTATGACAAAAGAAAAAATTATAACCCTCAACAAAGAAAATTTGATATATAAGCAAAAAACAATGGTCAAGATTTAAGAATAAACCTTTGGACTATATAAATCTAATGATTTAGTAAAGATTTTAGTAAAATGAATTACTATTAGAATCATATTGCAATTTGTGAATCCATGCTAATTAAATTTTGGACTACTATTGGTCCATAAATATGAATGGCCTGAATACATTTAAATGAAGAGCCAAGATACATCCAACTGAGGTTTGAGCTTACAGGAGGATGTTAATATAACCTATGTATTTAAAATTTGTATATATATCAAATGTATATTTACCAAAGGTTAGTACAATTTATGTAAGATGGTGGCCTAGTGCTGCCATTGAGTGTATATATATACTTGTGGCATTGCCACCTAAAATTATCTTTTACCTTTGACAAGACTCTGCTGAGATACTAACATCGGGGACCTTGCCTTCTTTGTAGAGGGAGCTGCCCATGTTGCGTTTTGAAGCACTGTTGGGACTATATCGAGAAAAATGAGAATTGGGTTTTGGCTGGTGTCTTAAAAGTGTGGCAAACTGCATCGCGTTGTGCGTTTTGGTTGCAAGAACAGGGACGAGGGCGGCATATTGGTGCACCACTGTGTAAAGACGGATCGGGCCTGAAGTGTAGAAGGACTGTTGTATTCTGAGTAGATGATCAACCTAACGAGACTTTTCTAAGGGGATGAGCAAGAACCGTGGTTGCGATTGTCAGGTTCTTAGTCATTGGATTGTTGTGGTAGCATTTGTTAGTTGCTAAGGCGTCGAGTAGTGACTTGCCACCGCAGATCCTTTGTTGCAACTTCATGACTAAACGGAATGTGTCCATTTGTACAGTTAGAGCGGTGATTATCGATCACCTATTGGAAGCCATGACTGGTGAACTGTATGATCACTGATGCCATTGGGTTAGGGCACAGGTTTTTTGTAGTCGCTCACTATTGCGAGAGGGTCCCAATTTTAGTGTCGCAGGCTTTGAGGCCTTATGAGGATCTGTGTCATCAGTTGTTTGTTGTTATTACATGAGTTTAGGGGAAGGAAGTACAGCACGCAGGAGCTTTAGCGCTGTTTCTTCTAGATATTTGTAACGATAAGAAGACACGAACTCGTGCGATTGTACTGGACATGATGGAAGTCAGCTCAGTTTTTACAATGCAGCTTTGGCTCTAAACTAGCGACAAAGACGACAACTGGAGATAGAGTTGGATGCTTGGTTGGGTCAATGTATTGTAACACTTTCCAATTTGAGGAATATCTTCTAATAGAGAAAATAGTTTTAGAAAGGGCAGTAATACATGCTGTGAAAAACCGGGAATCACTCCTGGCAACAGCATCAAAGTCATGCTTATTGTTGATAATTTAATGAGAACGATCTTTAGAGTTGCATTTCTCAGATCCGTTATGATTTTTTGCATTTTACATATTTTTAAGTATCATGTTGAATGGATATGTTACGAGAGAGTTTTTTCTTCTATATCCTGTTTGCACAGATCACTTTCTCATAAGCTTGGTTACTCTCAATTGTTAATGTATGCGATTTAGAGGACTGAGGACGAAGACGAATCTGAAGGGAACTGAATTCCACAGGTAGGCACCTAGTACATAATACTAAAGGATCCATACCAGGCGCGTGGTACTTTGATCGACTACAGCGCTGGTTCTAGCCAAGTGAACAGGAAACACAGTGAGCTTGTGAGTTGCGAATTCATGGATTGCAGATTTTGGGTTTCGTCAAATGAGGCGTCGGTGTCTGACAAGAAGGGGGGGTACAAATTTGACGGCCCAGTTTCCTCAATACAAGACGTGGCGAAAATGAGATGAAAATCGAGGCATTGGTGAATTGGGGTCAAGCTACGGAGGTAGTCTGCAATATGCAAGCAGATACAGAGACGGCAATGAAGACATTTACTTTTGGGGGACGAGGTGGAAACTTCAGAAATCAGACCTCGGAGCCGATCTGGTTGATGGCCATGATCCAAAATTTTGAAGCATTAGAATTCGGGTGCAGGGGCATATATGAGGCGGATGCTCCGATGTGCGAACTGGTGCTTCACAGCTTCAGCATGCTCAGAACAGCTGGGCAAGTGCTTTTAATGACCACCTTGGAGTCGTGCAATTCAGGAGTTCGGATTTCAGGAAGGAGGTGGAATATTCCGCAGCTAGGAGTTTAGGATAAAAGAGTGGAAATTGTGGATTCTGACACTGGGTTTCAAATTTTCGAATTCAGCCAAGGGGAAAATCCTGGGCCGAATCCACATGCCAACCTTGGTTAAAGCGGTTTGATTTTTCCATAGGCAACTTAGACCAAATCCTTTGAAATTATCACAGAGTTGTCAACAAACAATGCATTTTGGTTGACAATGGCGATGCAAAAGCTTCACTCATGCACAAAATTGTTAGCACATGATCAATATGTGAATCTTCAATTAACCTCCAAGTCGGAATAGTTTTGTACACGATGCTAATAAACTACGCAGAATTTGGTTATCAATTCGGCCCTTATTTGCGAAGTCAGATTCACTTCCTACGTGTTTGTTGGTTGTCACCCAACAATTTTGGTGAAACCGAATCGATCAGGAACACACAACGGCGTCAACGGTTTTGCTGTATTGATTTGTCTTTCAGTCGGACCAATGACCAAATCAGAGTAGAGGAGCTTGACAGAAGAATTTGTTTTTCAGTGCTCGCTCACAATTCGGGGGGAAATGTACACGAGTCCTTCGTCTTTGGGAGTGATGGTGGGCGTGTACAACAGATCGTCACACCCTGGAGTCCTGGCTCGTTTGTAATCTACAAAAGTGGTAAAGAGGGAGGTGAAGAGAATCAGCTGGTTGATGGCGTAACGTTGCCCGATACACTGGTGGGGTCCAGCTCCAAATAGCAACCAGTTTTTCCTGTACACTTGATCTTCCATTCGTTCGGGGGAGAATCGCTCCGGATCAAAAACCTCCGGATCAGTGAAGCCCTGGAATGAAGACTCCAGTAATGAGGGGAAGACAATTGTTCCCTTTGGGATGGTGTAAGTGTCTGTCAAGGCAAAGTCGGTGCTGGCAATGTGCGGTACCATGGTTGCCGGAGGCCTGTAGCGCAGCACCTCCTTCACGACCATCTCGGTATATTTCAGTTCTCTCAAGGACTCTGGAGTGTAAGGTGCCAATGGATTAGGACGTAGCAGTGATTGCTCTTCTCGTAGTTTCTCGAGAACGTGGGGGTGGGATTCAGTTAGGGTAATCGCCCAGACCAGGGAAGATGTGGAAGCATCTTGAGCTGCGAAGAGGAAGTCGAAGATATGGCAGCCAATTTCGAAGTCGGAAGAATGGGAAGGAGGAGGCATTCCTGCAGCTTCGGCCTCCCCAAGCTCCCGCACAGTTTCCACCATCCAGAAGTCCATCAGACAGGAAGGTTCTGCACCCGTAGCCATCCTCGCTTTGCTGGCTGCTGCGCATCTTGCAAGCGAGTTTTGGATATTCTTCACAGACTTCGTGGCTTTGTAGAATGAGAAACCTGGGAAATAGATGGGCAAGCTCATAAGCCCCACGTTGAAGTTCTTGTAGTCCTCGTTGAATCTTTCGCGCATGTCGGGAGTGAGGTATGGGCCCACGAAGACGTTCTGAGATGTCTCCAAATTCATGTCGCGGCAGAGCAAGCGGATGCGAATTGGATTATTCTTGAGTTTATCTGCCCTGTCTAACCATTTGGTGATGTGCTCCTTCTGCGTTTTTTCTTGGATAGATACGTATACGCCAAGCGCCTTTAAGGTGAATAACGGCGCGAGTCGGCGTCGCAAATCTTTGTGTTCTTCCCCGAACATAAAGATGAGGTTGTGGTCTCCGAACAACTTCTTGCCCAGCGGATGACCTACCAGATGAAATGCGTCGGGACGAACGTTCGCGAAAATTTTCTGGGAAAGCTGGGAGTCTCGCACAAACAAAACAAACTTACCGAGTAGGGCGTTCCACGAGACTCCAACCTGCAAATACGAATAAAATCTCACTTCATCAACAACCGACGAATGTTCATTCTTAAAACTAGAAGGCAAGTTAGCAGGAATCATTTTATCAGGTCGGAGATAATCTAAGCGATGCTCTCACCTTCGAAGCATCCTTTGCTTGATTAACCCAAAATCCCGTGGGATTAACCACCATAGCAATCACGCTGCCCACGAAAGGCAATACGAAGGATGGCCCTGGCAAATGCTTCCGCTTGGAAAAGAAAGAGAGCTGTTCGAAAATTATATACCCGAAGATTACGAGCCCCAATCCTTCTCTCCAGCCTAATCCTGGCATGACTTCAAACAGCCCCTCCATCTGTAACGATTTTCTTCTCAGTGCAAAGCCTGATACTAGACCCGGAAGCAGATTTAATCACAGCCGTATCCGCGCTTTATAATCTGTACACAGAATTAGAAAACATGAGAATTGGCCGTTGCTCACTGGCTTCTCTGCTCCCTTGCGGAGACGAAATTCTTCAGCATCAAAACGGTTAGCATTGAATGGATTCGTGATTTTCCTGAGCATGAACTGTTCACCCAGTTGCTGCGTAAGCTTGTCGTTAGCTCAACCTACTCCCAACTACCGGGAAGGCATTAAACGCAAAATCAACGCTACGAGCTCACGATTCAGTCAGTCTTGCTTGAGCACAAGCTTTGATTTCAAGCTGTGTAATGCACGACAGACAGATTGCACACGGTGGAGTAAAATATTGGTCAATTCTGACTGCCGAGTACCGAACTGTGAGAAGAACTGGTCTAAGTTGTTGTCTACGGGTCATACCCCAAAATCTTCATTGGTATCATCAGCTCACATGGACACTGCATTCGTTTTGCTCAGAACAAGTTTACCTGTTTGGCATCGATGGGAACACCAAGCAGGTGACTACAACGGATTTTCCAGATACCGGCGGCAGAGTTTACTGACTCTTACCTTGCAATCCACCTCTTGTTCTTCGCAAGGTACGTCTTCTCAGCGCAACTCCTAATTCTCCGACACAAATACACGCTCATGACCAAGAATGGACTCATCTCCTAGGGGTGCGCATGCTTATATTTCGACTCTAATGCAGCTCTACTGCTTCGGTTGATCAAATTCAACTAAGAATGAAACCAGAAAAAGTGAAACGAATTCAAGCGGATAGACCTAGTTGCGACTCCCTATCGACGACAATGGGCAGTTTGGGACGACAGGTTTCTAAAATAATTGCCTCAGTGGAGCTTTAATTAAAGATGACTACCCATACGATGACCCCACAGAGCTTTGGCCTTTCGGTACCATAATATATATCCAACAGCAGAACCAGAGCCAGCAATTGCCAGCACTGCCGGGTCGAAGAAAAGCCAAAGGGTTCTGGAAGAATCGCGCTGCGAGACAACAGAACCCAGAAGAAATTGTTAAGGAAGGTACCCATCCGACTCCTTCTAATTCCACTCCGAATTTGTCTCTATGCAAATCACGTTTCCTCGTCGCCCATAAAGCTTACCGTAGGTACAGAATTGTATGGTCAGCGAGACGACTCGACCGCCAAAATGGTTCCCAAGATGCCAATACGAAGTCTAGAATTTGTTTAATTTAGGAAATTCATACGAAACTGCGGCACGATTCTTCAGGAAGTGCAGCCGTCCCGATAAACCCTTCTGATGGCGCCGAGGTAAATCAATGCCGGGTATTACCTCGAGGGAGAGATAGATTCGGTAGGTTTGTACCCAATAACTGGCATGGATCCTGTGAATGGGCTCCATGCAACTGAATTCAATGGCCGGGAGCTGCGGTTGCAACATTCCATTCACGGTGCACACGAGTACAGCGTGCAACCCAGACATCCATTCTGTTTTGCCACCGGGGCCGAGCTCTGGCGCTCACCCCTCCTCCTCCTTCTCCTCCTCTTGCTCGTTTTGCTTGCTTGCTTGCAAGATCATGCAAGCAAGCAAACAAACCCTCTTGCTGGTTTTGCTTGCGAGATCTCCTCCTTCGATTCCTTCACAACGCTGCTGTGAGGTCTCACGTCCCTGCTCCCTTCCCTTCTTATTGTCTTTCTTCCTGCCCTTTGTAGATGGAATCTCAATGCCCTAATTAAATCACTTGCTTTCAACTTGGAAAATTCCCAAAACTTGAGATTAGTATGGATGGATGTATATATGTGTCAAGTAGTAATGTTTTGTTTGTTTTGTTTTGAAGAAAAGAAAAATAAAATAATGTTTTAATTTTTAGAATTTTGACTAATATGCACTTTTATGCAATTTTGACTAAAGAAGGTATTGGCAAGTGGTACGGTTCACAAGGGTTTTGACATGTCACTTGGATTCTTTTGTTTTATATAAAGAGCCTATAGAACATCAAAGGAATTGTATCAAAAGGTTTGATTGTATAATCTACTATTTTTATAAATTTATATAAATAGAAATATTAGTACTATAAATAGTTATTTTGAATAATTAACATTACAACCTATTATACCAATATCTGTTTGTTACAAAGAAATTATACCATGTCTTATTAAATGAATAAATCTTCTTAAATTATAATTCCATGTTAATTTGTAAAAAAGTTTTAAAAAATAATTTCAATAATAAATAATAATAAAATACTTTTAAATTAAAATTTTATAAAATAAATTTTATTACATATAATTTAAAATAATATATTTTATAAAAATATATTACTTAAAATTAAATACATTTATAAATATATATATATATATATATGTGTGTGTGTGTGTGTGTGTGTGTGTGTGTGTTGTTTTTTACACAATTTTTATAAACAAAAGTTATAAAATATTGGTCTGAGATGACCTTAAACTATCAAGTGATGGCATTGATGTACCCAAAGCAAATACTGTAATTGGTAATTCAATCCATGGCTATGCAATCTTCTCTACACTTAATGGAAGTGTCAAGGACAAAGACTCGATGAAGGAAAATATACACAAAAAGGCTATCTCGATATAATAAGTCAAAATATAAACAAGTACATATATTAAAAGGAAACTGGAATGGCTATTGCCACAAGACAAGAAACTAAAGACTCTTGAACCAAGACTAGAAGCAAGAAAGGAGTTGACAAGAGTGAAGAAGCCTTCACTCTTGTCTCTATATATACTATCTAACTAGGGGCTACGTGGCGACGTTCTATAGGACCTCCAATATGTGTTGACTTTGTAGGACACATGCCTTGACTTACAAGGCAAGTTTTTCTACGTGTGGGCCACATAGTTAGCTTGATCTTCAAGCTAACAACATGTGTGGCACATGGCCAACTTGTTGACCACGTTTCTAATCCAAAAAGTCAATTAAAGACACCTATGAAGTCAAAGCAGCGTCTAGGAAGTTTCTAGGAAGCTTCTATATTAAATATTATAGAATTAACTTACTTTTATCTACTTTTACTTACTTCTACCTATTTCTATATGTAATTATTAGCTTACATGATTATGACCATAACATTACCCCCCCTTCTAGAGACGAGTTCCACGAGGAGCGGTCATCATATGTTGAGGAAATCTATGATGCGACGAATTGTATTCGCCACATACTCTGATCTATGTTCTCTTCGAAGATGATTGATAGGGCCTCTCAACCATCGGTAGTATCCCATACCAGGGCGGGAAGACCACCCAGTTATTTGATCATTGTTGAGGCCTTCGTAACTTCCTTCGAATAGAATATTTGGAACACCATCAGGAGTTGTTCCTACCTCTAGCAAAATCACCAAACATCGGGAGTCCCTTCCCAAATCGTGATACCAAACGTGTTGTATCTCACCATCTATTCGAGGAAGAACATATCGTTCTTGAAGATCTTCATCTCAATTGCGTCGTCTTGAAGGTTGTGACAATCGTAATGTCTCGTCCGGCAGGTCAGCAAACGAAGGTTCTTGAGTTGAATCCGCTGGTTGTTGGCTCTCCATCTAATTAGCGTCACAAATGTAAAGAAGTTACAAAAAAGGATAGAAAATTGAATGTTATCTTGTCTCAATCTTGTCTCTTTTATAAGAGAGATTTTCATCTTGGTTTTGATGGATGTCGTTGATGAAAAACTTTGACTTTAGCGAATGCATTTGCTAGATTCCTGGATGGCTCCCATGTGCGTTCACTAATATCATATCCGCGCCAATGAACAAGATATTCCAGCTTATTTCGGCGCTGCCTTGAGTCTAATATCTCTTCCACTTCAAATTCTTCATTATTATCTACTTCTATAGGAGGCGGTGGCATTTGTCTTCTTCCTTGTATATCCACTGTCTTATATGGTTCAAGAAGAGACACGTGGAATACAGGATGGATCTTCATTGACTCCGGTAGATGTAACCGATATGCAACTGGATTGATCTGTTCAGAAACAGAAAAGGGGCCAAGCCTACAATAGTCCAACATGTCACAAGGTCGAGTAGTCTTGATATTGCGACGAAGTAGTCATACCTTATCACCCACGTTGAGTTGTGGTTGCTCCTTACGATATAGATCTACGTTTATCTTTTGTCGTTCTTGAGCTTCCTTCAATTGTGTCTTCATTATTGCATGTAACTCTGACAACCGATTTGCCATATCTTCTGCTGCAGGATTATCAACTTTTAAAAAATCAAAAGTATCAAGTCGTGGATGATAGCCATAATTGGCAAAGAAAGGTGTTTGTTGCGTGGAAGAATGTACCGTATTATTATAAGCAAACTCTGCCAATGGCAGAAGGGTTATCCAATCATCTTGTTGGTAGTTGATAGTACACCTTAAATACTGCTCCAAGACTTAGTTTACGCGCTCTGTTTGTCCATCGTTTTGAGGATGGAAAGCCGAAGATAGCTTTATGTCCACTTTTAAAATCTTGAAAAGGGTCCTCCAGAATCTTGACACAAATTGAGTTCCCCTATCCGATATGATATCTTTAGGTAATCCATGATAGCGATAGATATTATCAATGAAAAGCTTAGCTATTTCTTCACCTGTGATAGATTTTGTACATGGCACAAAATGTGCCATCTTGGTGAAACGATCTACTATCACAAATATAGAATCATAAGATCTTGAGCTTGAAAGATCTGTGATGAAATCCATAGAAACAGAAGACCATGGTTGTTCTGGTATAGGTAATGGCTGAAGAAGTCTGTAAGGTCGATGACGAGGAATTTTTGATCTTGAACAAATATCACATGATTGTACAAAGTCTTTGACTGACTTCCACATTTGTGGCCACCAAAAATCTCTTGATATGAGTTCCAAAGTCTTATTATATCCAAAGTGCCCTGCTGCTGGAAAGTCATGACGTGCTTGAAGAACACGTAAACGTGCTTCTCCTTCTGGAACATATAGGCGTCCTTCAAAATATAATAGATTATTCTTGAACTCGAACTTAGAAGAATCATGAGACTTGGAAGAATTATTCTCGATATCATGAACAAGAGGGTCTGAGGACATACTGGACTGGATTTGCTTGAGAAAAGTTGAATCAACAATCAATGTTGATTTCATTGCTCGGAGATGAAATTGCTCTGGTTTCAAGAGGACCGTTCTTTGTTGCTCAAAAGTTGCATCTCCTTCTTTTGGTGCAAAATAAGAACGTCTAGATAGGGCATCGGACAAACCTTGTTGTTTTCCTGGCCGATAAGTGATAATGAACTCGAATCTTGACAAAGACATACTCCAACGAGCTTGACGACGATTCAACAAGCGTTCTGACATGAAATACTCGAGGTTCTTGTGATCTGTATACACAGTGACTGGACTAGAAGCGCCTTCTAGATAATGACGCCATTCTTGAAAGGAATCCATGATCGCAAGAAGTTCTTTATCGTGGATCTCATAATTGATCTCGACTGCTGAGAATTTTCTTGAATGAAAAGCTATCGGATGAAGTTTGTCATCTGTTCCCATTTGTGATAAAACTGCACCCAATGTAAAATCTGATGCATCTGTTTCCATAAAAAATGCCTTGGAAAAGTCAACACGATATAAGACTGATGCAGAGACAAACGATGTCTTCAAGGCTTCAAATGCTGCTTCCGCTTCTTGATTCCATTGAAATTTATCTTTACTAGTCAAGCGTATAAGTGGAGCTGCAACTCGTGAGAAATCTTTGATGAAGATCCGATAGTAATTGGCAAATCCCAAGAAACATTGGACATCTCTTACTGTCCTTGGAATCTTCCAATCCATGATTGTTTGGACTTTCTTAGAATCCATCATGAGACCATCATTTGAAATGATGTATCCTAAAAAGTCAACTTGAGTAGTGTGAAATACACACTTTTCCATCTTGGCGTACAATCCTGCATCTGTAAGTTTTT